CGCGTTTTAAAATCAGAAGCTCCAATCGCAGGCCACCCTTCTGCGCTGCCCGGCTGCTGCCGCTGGCGCCGTTCGCTCAGCTCCGTCCCGCTCTTGGCGTGTACGGTAGGTGGTTGAGTTTAATTAGTTCGGAGGCTGTAGTCTAAGCCCCCCGCCCTAAGGCCCAACCCGTTGCCGAATGGTATGTCAGGAGCCGTTTCAGGGTGGACCTCGACTGCGTAAGATTCCCTTGCCGAAGCATTATGGGGCCCTGTCAGAAAGCCTTGATTTAATGTTTCAGTTTCTTCACTTCAGGAGGCCGAACTCACATTCGGAGGGTATCATTTCGACCCTGGGGATGCTTCAGTTTTCGCCTTCCGGCTCCTGAAATAGAATCCCCGGTGTAGGACTCCACCGTGCCTCCTCCGAACTAATTAAATGGCTAAGGCATTGGGTGAATTGGGTGTAGTGTAGGGGGTGTTGTTTTAAGAAACCTTTAAAATAGGGGTGGTCCCTTTGGCGGAGGAAGGTTTCTTAGGCGGGCCTTTCTTCTCTAGACATACTAGGGTTGTCCGCCCAGGGGAACACCGTAGTTAGCCCCACTCCGAAAGCACTGGAGGGTACAATGCCAATTCCATCGTGGAGAACGGTTTTGACCACCGGACCTGGTGCAACCGCATGGTCGGGAAGTTTGACTTCCGCTACCAGAAGACGCCCAGGCAAAAAGGCTTTCTCCTCACATTGGACCTGGTTCGCGTCTCGCTGGAGGATGCCCTTGGCAGAAGGCCTCCATGGATCCGTTCGTGGATCCTTGTAATCTGCTGGCTGCCGGGCTGCGAGACTTCGTCTACTTAGCAGCTGCCGACACCAATTCCGAGTGTTCGGCTGGGACTGGCGGACTCCACATCGACATCGACCCGGCGGAGATCTCTCTCTCTCTCTCTCTCTCTCTCTCTCTCTCTCTCACTCTCACTCTCACTCTCACTCTCTCTCTCTCTCTCTCTCTCTCTCTCTCTCTTATCCTACACCCCTGAACCCTAAACCCTATTAATATTAGCATAAGTAAGAAGCAAGAGCGCAAACATCATTAATACAATGCACTTACAATAGTTCGTTCAGGGGCTGGGCTTCTTTCCCGGGCTTTCAAGTTTGGTTTCGGGGTCTTTGGGACTGATCTTGAAGCTCTGTTTCAGTAATTTAATAATAATTCCGGTTTAGGGTTTAGGGTTTAGGGTATGGGCACTCCCCCCTAAGTCGCCCACTCGCAAGACCCATAAGATCCGCAAGATGCATCCAAGCAATAATTGCAGGCATAATGTAATAAATGTAATTTACTCGAAAGTTGCAACCGAAACAAGGCCAGTAAGACTCAGTTAAGATTCTCCTTCTTTGCTCAAATCTGCAAATCTGAGTCTTTGGAAGTAAAGGAGTGGCACCCTCGTAGCCAGACCTTCCGTAAGTTCCTCTGCCCAGATTCAGCACAAAAGCAAACCCTAAACTAGCTAGTAAACGACGATTATTATTACTACTAGTACTTAATAACTAGTGCTACTACTACGACGACGACTACTACTCCTGACTGTCTTGAAGTAACGAATGAATGCATATTTCATAATAACAATTTTTAATACAGTAAGCTTCCGGGTCTTGCATATCACCACGCTTGCAGGCGGAGACTCCTGCGAGAGTTTCCTGCCCTGCTGATTACACTGGTCTGGCCAGAGTCCTCCTGCCGCGAACCCAGAGTGCGACCGGTCACAACCGCATGCACGCACAATTTATTAATAAACTATTAAGTTGTATAGTAGCGCCCACCCACATACGCAAACGTAAACATACATGCACGCTTGCGCCTGTACGCATCTGCGAGCATAGAGACGGTGTGCGGATGCTTATTCAAGTCAATAGTTGAAATGATTAACTCACCTGCGCTGGATCGATGCTCGCAGCTTTTGCGATTGTCCTTGGTTTCCACATTCTGATGTATAGTAAGCCAAACCAATCCAATCAGACACAGTCAGACACTAACAGGTGCCGGTTCCACCGGTCTATCCTGCAAGAGACCTACGTCGCTTGCAAGGTCTGCCCGCCTCCTGTTGGATTGTTTCGGCCAGATTCAGAAACGACACTGCAGGGAAGCCTGTTTGTTTGCGATGAGGTTGTGAGAGATGAGAAATTGCACCGGCCCAGCCGTCATCACTGCCGGTGACATGTCCGGCTCGATAGCAAGTAAGAGAAGCCTTGAAGCATCTCAGTCTTGGATAATTTTGTTTCCTGCTGGCCGAGCTTGCGCAGCCATGGCCCCGAAGAAGAGCTGCATCCAGTCAAAAACCAAGGCAGTGCAAGAGAAGGCGCTTTCGAAGGAGAAGAAGCTGAAAGTGTTTTGTCTGCAAGCAAGGCGTCTACACTTCAACCTTCCGACCCCCCTTAACTTTAAACATATGATCCCATCAATCAAGCTAATCACATGTCCGAATATTCGTGAACTGAGGACAAGGCGGAGGAAGCCTTGCGCAAAGAGCAGAAAGCGAATCTTGAAGCGCAAGAGAACAGACTGGTCACGATGAGGCAGGAGCTCGATGCGTGGTTTGCCCTACGGCCGAAAGCACTGGAACACATCCATCGGGGCTTCAGTCGCTGAGAATTTTAGTTCTTCGTTTTTTTGGGTATGTTTGGGAAAGAAAAATAGTACTGTGAAGCTTTAGCGAGCTAGGTTCTTTAAATTCAGTTGAACTTGAGTGAAATGACTGACTGTGATTCATTGTCTTTAGAGCGCACGTGGCATAAAGGTATGGGAAGCTTTGATTCGCTGGACTCCGGCAAGATCGTGGGCGACGACGACTCGTCGGAGCAGAAGCTGAAGCCCTACATGAACAAGTTCCGATTGCTTGGGCAAGAGCAAACGCGACCGCTGCTTTGCAAGATGATTCCCAAAGTGATGTCGTTCTTGGACAAACAGCAGAAGAACTTCAGATGCAAGATAGAGCGTGCTTTCCTGGCGACCCTGCTCGCGTAGCTTGGCTGTGAATCAGTAGTACATGTAAAACAATCTTTCATTCAAATCTTCTTTGCCTCTGCCGAAGCAAGAAAAGTGCAAAACACCTCACTCGCCGTAGGTTCATCACTCACTGCGACGTCAACAGCGCGTTGCCGAGCAAGAGCATGGTCGCGCTTGAGGACTTCATGATGAAGCGCTTCACAGACTACGGCAGCCGGCTAGAAACCTGGGAGCCACGGGGGCCAGAGACGACCTTCCAGGACCTACTCGTTTAACCCGCCTAAGTAAGGCATCCTGCTGCAACATCGTGATTTTCCGCCGCCTGTTCATTGCTCAGCCTCTTAGGCCCAACATGCGGCTGGGGTCGTGAGTCCAAGTCAGTGAAAATTCAAGTTGAATGAATTCGGTTTAACCGTTGCCTTGTTTGTCGGATCGGTTGGCCTTAAATTCACCCAAGCCCAAGAGTCCGCGTTCTCAAGGAGTTCTGTGACGATCCCTCCTGCAGCTACTGGAGGCTGGAGAAGCAGGACGACGGCAAGAGTCAGTTGCGGTACATGCAGACCGACTTGATGTTTAAGCTTCCGCCGGAGATGCAGAACATCGACAACATCAAGGTCATGTGCGCAAGAAACTTCAACACATCCTTGAGTTTCTCAGCTGCAATGTGCGAATCTTTCAGATCAAGTTATCTAAGCACGCGCTTCTCTAGTTCTCTCGTCTATTCAGAACATGTTGAAACCACTTCTTCCAACTCAGTTGTTCGTTGCATAGCAATTCCGTCAGGTGCTGGGTTGGTGGACATCTCGGTGTGCAAGATCCTGAATTCCGACATCAACGAGGGCAAGACCTTGCCCGAGAGCCCGTTCTTTCTGAAGGAGTGCCCGACGGGTTCCTCCCCCGAAGCCGGTTCTGGTGATGGCAAGAAGACGAAATCGTGGCAGGCGAAATCGGAGACTGCGCTTCAACCGGCAGCTGGGAACGGCAAGAACACTCCCCCGCGGACGCCGAAGCGCAAGATCAATTCCAAGTCGTCGCCTAGCAAGAGTCCGAAGACCCTCGCCGGATCGCCCGTCAGCTCGATCAAGTCGCCAGCATCAGGAGGGCGAGGATCGCCAAAGTAAGCTTGACTGAGATTGTTTCAGGGGCAAGAACACAGAAGAAGCATTATTATTTTTAACATAAAAAATGCATCGCTGAAAGTTGGTGTCACATGCTTTTGTGTTCTCGGGTTACCCCTGCTTCTGAGTCTTCCGAGACTGTAGGTCAGAGAGCAGGGAAGTATTTCAAGAGCGCCCCGGCCTGACTCTGCCGAATTCCGCTGCCGCTGTTTCTGAAGGCAAGAAATTTTAATCGAGTCCTCGGCCGCTGAACCTGGCAAGTTTTGGCGATCAACCGCCTTGCCGGGCCGTTTGCGATAAAACGCTGCCTTAGTCACTGGCCGCAGAAGTCGCAAGAGAGAAAACGGGTTGCCAGAGCAACAAGCCTTTTGACGCACCTCATTTGTGATTTTACACTCCCGCCCGCCAGGATTCTGCACTTCCTGGACCTGCACTGAACGACTGTCGGGCCCTGGCAAGAATTTTTGCTAATGAGCCAGAGTAACGCAAGAAACTCCGTATTTTTGGAAAGACATTCGCAGGAAATCCCTGCAAGATGCAGAGAAAAAGGCGTGGCAAATCATCATCATTTCATCTCGCTGACATATAAACTTCACAGACTATCCGGGGTGTAGTGTCGTAAATTCTTATTGAAGCTTTTAATATACTTGGGAATTTTAACAACATATCAGAACTTTATCTTGTAACCGAACAACCCACGAACCCCTCACGAACCCCCAAAACGTTCGCAGAAGTTCGCCGAAGGGTTTTTGAAAAAACGAACTTCGTCGAAGGGTCAACCTTTGCCTGACAGACCGTTGCCCCCTTCTGCGTTCCCCTCACTTATTTTGGGGCCCTTATACTAAGGATCCTACTATTTAGGGTACTATACTAGGGTCCCCTATTTTCGGAAACCCCCATACGAGGCTCAGGAAGCTGGCTGTGGGTTCTCTCTGCTGCGGGTCTGTTCTCCCAGGGGCCTGAGGCACCCTTGGTTTTCTCACCATGATTGCTAGCACTTTGGCTTAGTAGCTGAGTGGATACACTTTACATTTTTTGTTATAATATTTCTCACTGTAAAACTGAAAGTGTGCACTTTTTGGGGCATATGAACTCAGCAACTGAGTTGGGGCGGCTTACGTACGGCAGCTGGTCCCCTGTGCAACTTCTCTGCTGACAGCTTTCCTTCGTATTCATATGGGAGCTTCCGAAAAAATTAGGGGTACGTACCCTATTCTCGGGTCCTCATAGTAAGGATCCTACTATGTAGGGTGCTATATTAAGGTCCCCGATTTTCGGAAACTCCCATAATATGAGCTCTCGTAGAAATGTTGGCCAAAAGAAAGTAGATTGAAGATCCAATCTGACGAGCTGCCGTTTAACGTGGCCACTGGTCTTGGAGATCCTGGGACGAGCTCGCGTGCCGCATGGAATCTACCATGCGGCAAGCGATGCTGCCATCCAGTTTCACTCAAAGCTGCTCCTAGGAACCTCCAAAAGCATGGCATGGGGTGTGTGCTTCGTTGTTTGTCTTCCGAGCTTCTGGGTCGGTCCTTACCACTGCATGCAGGGCTGGGCCTAGAGTCGGCAGGGCTAGGCCTACATTCGTCACGACAGCTGGGGTAGATGTAGTGGTTCCAGTCCTCTTTTAAGTGAAGCAAGCCCCAAGCACCTTGCACAAAGAAACGCTTAGCTCGCTTCGCAGCCCGTGCTGGTTGTGTGCCTTCAGCACCGCTACAGGACCAACCTTAAAGCCCAAAACCCCTATAAACCCGATACCCCAACCCTAAACCGGAATAACCTGCCTTTTGAAGGATTTACAGAAAGGAAATCATAAAAAGGAACCCTAGGAAGGTAGGGTAAACCCTAAGACCCAAAGCCCCAAAAGCGAAGGTCAAGATCGGCGAAAGGAGGCCGGGTCCTCAGAAACCCACGGGGCTTTCTTGCTGGGTCCGTACTCCAGCAGGAACCCCCCCCCAAGACCCCATAGTAGTTCCGTTTTGGGGTTCATATTTAGAATCTTATGAGGTAACCCCAAAAAGAAACTACGATGGGGCCATGGGTAGACTCTCATGGTTTGGGGCTTTAAGGTTTTGGGCGTAGGGCTTGGGGCGTGTAGTCTGGAGCTGAGGGTGTAAATTGTCAATGCATGCCGTACATGAATTTACCGGGAGGATCCAGAAAGTAGATCCCCTAATTCGGGGATCTACCCTAAACCCTAAAACCCTATAGATCCCTTAAAGGGGCCCTTAAAGGAACCCCTGTAGGACCCCCATTAAGGGATCTACTATTAGTCTTGCAGCAAGTGCCCTTAGAAGCCTTTTAGGACCTGCAACGTCGGCTACTTCGGCCGAAACGGAGCTTAAACCCAAAACCGCAAGCCCTAGCTTAACCCCAAATAACCTACTTTTTTAGGGCCCCCTTATATGATTTCTTTATATAAGTCCCTCAAAAGGTAGGTGATTTGGGTGTTAAGGTAACCCCTAAGCTTCTAAACCCTAAGCAACAGAAGCCCCGTGAGAAACAGGCAGTGTCCTGAAGCTGATGGAGCCTCCCGTGATTGCATGTTTGTGTTTTAACTTGGATTTAACGGTAAGTAAGGTGGCTTACTGTATATGAGCCTGAAGTTCATTCGTTCGTTTTACTATTCCTTAAGCAGGATTGTTTTTATGACAACAGTGTGCGTAGATTGCACATAAGACTCTATTCGAATTACAAGGGGCCCTACATAAACGAAGCCTTCTTCAGCCCCCGAATCGTTAAGGCCCCTCTTGGTGGTGGTTCCCGAAATGCTTTGGGCCCAGCCTCCCGAGTGCCCCTGGAGGCCCAACTGCTACAGCCAGAAGAAAAGATGTTTTGCAACCGGAAAGCCAACTAGAGCGAATTGGTAACGTGTTCATATGGAGGCGCAGTAGGGACGGCTCGACAGTCCGCAGTCAACCTCTTCATATAGTCCTGCGTTGTAAAGCCATAGGCGGCCTGGTTCTTCTAGGTTTATGGTTCCCGGTGTAGCGTCAAACAAGGGACTTTGGAGTTTACACAAACCTCACGTCAGGCGGCTGTGGTACTTTTTGAGCAGTATTTTGAGCCATCATATAGACCAGACACCTCCGAACCTCACGTCCCAGACCTTACTCAAGCTACGAGCCATACCGGCTAAGCCCCTGCAAAGCCCAGCATGAAATCCCAAGGCGTCGAAATATTCCCAGCGGTTGGTCCGAAAAGTTTCGCGAAGTCCCTCCTTGTACTCCAACGCTCGGAAGGAGAAGAAGGCCATGGAGAGTTTGTTGGTACTTGGCAGTACGCGAGTTTTCGGAGAGTCATGTAGGTTGGTATTGAGGAGAGCGGGAGAGTATATTACGATTATTTGGTATTTTGACCCTTTCGATATTGATGGTGGGTTCAAGGCAGCGGAATTGGTTTATGCCTTGAGTCAGGGTCCCGGACTCCTACTTCCCCCTGAATTAGTAAAGGAATAAGTAGCAGGGCCCTCAATGTGATTTAAGGTATCTTCAGCAGTTGAAGGGGTGCTGGGGTTCACGAGGACAGAAAATTGCGGTTTCGTGCGGCTTGCCACGCCCTGACACAGCGCGGGAAATCCCAACAGAAACCCCTGAACCCCAACCCGCATAAAGGGGCCTTAATCATTACCAATACTATTTGGGGGGGTTCCATATTATGATTGTGGCAGAATGGACCGCGAAACCCTATTCTAATTATTAAGGCCCTTACACTGCAACCCTAAAGCCTCAAAGCCCTAAATCCCGTAAACTGTCTCATCGATCAGGGATTTGTTTCGCCGCTTTGAACTACGACCTTTTTAAGCTTTCTATTCAAAGAAGTGTATAGTTTAGGATACAACGGCACTGAATGAGATCGGATATTCAGGATCTGGATAAATCTCCTCAGGAATGTTGCTGAGTGCATACTTTGGCTGTTCTTGTAGGACCGGTAAAAATGCAAAAGCCATGTCATGATAGTGTTCGCAGGTCACTAAATCTGAAGCCTTAAAACCAACGAACTAAACGCTGACACCCTGCAATCCTAAATCCTAAACCCTACAGCCGACACCCGAAAACCAGTGAAGCCGACAAGAGGCTTCTCGGCGAAGAACCTCGAATCGAGCGAGCGAGGACCGCGTCCCGTTTAGGGACTCCGGTTCAGTGACGTTTGAGGTACGGATCTTTAGACCAATGTCCCCACAAACCCGGGAGAGGCCAAATGCCCCATCAAAGGTCGAGCACAATCCGAAGTGCATTCCTCTTGAGCTTTAAGCTCTCCCGTGCGGCCATTGCGATTTCGGCCGTGAGTTTATTTAAAGGTCTGCAGCGCTCAGGGGTTTAGGGTCTGATTGCGGCTCAGGGCCCTTACAGCCTATACTTTTGGTTGCTTGAGTTCCAAAGGCTTGGGCCGCTGGGGTTATCCCCTACCCGATCAGACTCTAGCTTCAAGCCATGGCGCGCTGATCAGCCCGACGACTACGTAAAATGTGCAACCCCAGTCCGTACATCGTCACCTACATAACCTGGGTAGTTCTCAATATTGGGATCCCCGTTTATAAGGGTGCCGTACTAGTTAGAGGACCTCAAAGGGGACCTTGGCCCTCGCTTAGAGAAGTAATCCCCTAGGCCTCAGGCCCGGCGCGAGTTGGCTTCGGCCTTTCGAGTTTCTTATGGCTTCCGTCGAATTTCGCAAGTCTCCATGTTATAACTGGGTGGGCCTTTGGGATCTTTTTGAATTTCGCCTACTATTTTGTAGAGAGCCATAATTGCAAATAATTTTCAAAGGGCTTAAAGGACAACTCAGATAAATGACCCAAGCTTTGGACGGATTTGACTGGTCGGGCGGCTGGGCTACGGCTAAGGGAGGCCTGCGGTATCAGACTTGGCAACATGATGCTTTGCAGCTCCCAATCGCCCTTGTCGGGAAGCTCATGTCACGAAGGAAAGGAGCACAGATGCAGAACAATTACACTTCTAACTCTAAGCCTCAAACCCTGCACAGTAAGCCGCAAACCCTGAACCCTAAACTGAACAAGCTTTTCAACCCCTCCGGAACTTCAACCTAAACCTTAAGCCCTAAGCTCCAAACACATACTGTAAATATCATACGGAGCCCCCAGAATACGTAGTACTGAAGCCCTAAGCTCCAAACACGAGCTCGTGGTGCCAGGCCAGAGCAGACGGTGACGTGGAGGACCGATTGCCAGGGCGATGCGAATTTTAGGATTTTGCGTTTGGATTGGGAAGGGTCTGTGCAGACATAGAGTTAACAGAAACTGTTCGAAAAGGCATGTTCTGATCTAATTCAAGCTATACTTACCCATGGGCCCCATACTGTAGTAGTTCCTTTTTGGGACTACCTTATAGAATTCTAAGTATTAACACCAAAACGGAACTACTTCGGGGCCTTTGGGTACTTTACTACCCCGAACCCAAGAACCCAAGACATCAACGTAACAGGGCGTAAGTCGTTCGAGGCGGATTCCTGAGGCGGACCCGGAGTCGACGCGTACTAGAAGAAACCGCTGCTTAAGGATTCGGGGACTTACCCTAAGGCCCCAGAGTAGTTCCGTTTTGTGGTTCATATTTCGAACCTTATGAGGTAATCCCAAAAAGGAACTACTATGGGGCCTTAGTAAGTAGGGAGAGAGGCCGAACGGAGTTCTGGTCGACTTTTCCTTGCATCTGCGACGGCAGAAAGCAAATGAAAAGGTTTGCTGTGTGTTCTTTTGGCCATGGCTTCTTTGCCTGGACACCTTCTTGTTCCGGGGCATCAGCATGACGATAATGAGTGATGTCGATTGAAAAAAAGGACGTGTGCCGCGATCATATCTGCGTGTAAGCTGCTAAGCGTTTAAATTCAAAAATGCCAGCAATGAAACACCCAGCCAGCAACCACGTAAACCTAAACAACTAATGCTAGGCTAGGCATTCTTCTAAATTTCCTCAGTCCTACACATCCTAGGGTCCCGGACGCTCCAAATCATCAGCACTTTACATCGTCCTC